CAAATCGCAGGGCCTGGCCATCTCCAACCAAAGGAACTTTAACAAAGGCAAGTGAGGAATTCTTCCCCTCGGGTGGTACAACCCTGGCTCTGTGCACAGACTGGGGGACACGAGGCTGGAGAACAGCACCCCAGGAAGGGATGTGGGGGCTCTGGCTGACAGCAAGTCCCTTGGGTTGTAGAGCCCAGATCAGAGGGGATGCAGAGAAGGCCCCATGGCAGCCTGCAGCTCCGTCATGGTGTCGTGCAGCTGCATCATAGTGCCCTGCAGCTCCGTCATGGTGCCCTGCAGCTCCGTCATGGTGCCCTGCAGCTCCCACCCAGGACAGCACAGGGGCAGAGTTGAGCAGTCCTTTAGGAAAATCTGCACTAATGTGGGTGTTTCAGGTGTTTCACTTTCTTCAAGAAGGTCCATCTGTCTGGCACAGATCTTCCATGGGCTATAGAGGATATCTGCGTCGCCATGCGTCACTTCCTCGTCGCCTCCTACTCTCTCTGTTAGGACATTTTCTGCCCTAATATGTTTTCACAGAGGTATTGCCAGCTTCACAGACAGGTTCAGCTGTTGGTTTGGGCTGTCCAGTGTGGAACCAGCACAAGACCAGCCCTCTGCACTACAGAAACCAGCTTTGTAGTCCCCCCTCACAACCAAAAACTTGCTCCCATTAGAACATGGCAAATGACATTCCCCACATTTAGGCAGGGAAATGAGTTTGAGAGAGGGACTCCAAAAGGAGAAGATTGAGATTCCGGAAGAAAGAAATGCGCGGGGGTCCAGCAGGATGCTGCGGATGGGGAGGAGCTATGGGGGATGTGCTCCATCATGGCGCTGACCGTGCAGATTCTTTTGCGTGGAGCTGTACTGCAGTTCAGGAGATGGAGAGGCCTGAACAGCCTTGGGACAGCAGATTGATATAAGTCATTCCCTGAGATCTAACTGCTCACCAGGCTGCTTCCAGGTCAAAGCTATTTATGGGCAGGCCTTCAAAGCCTGGGGCCGTGTCACTGTGTTGGAACAGGCATTCCAACAGACAAAATCTTCTGGGAGCAGTCAGTTAATGATGTGCAGCGTACATTTGAGAGGCTGCAGAAGGAGAATTGCTCCTTGCCATTCTAGCTGCTGTTCACTGGGTCAGGAAGATGCGCTGAGGGAGCAGCCCGTGGCAGAGACTGCTCTAAAAAGCCAGAAAATGGAGGATCCAGAAGTACGGCAGAGGGTGAGGCTGATGAGAAGAGCATGAGGTAAACGGGCCAGAAGGCTGCCGAGGTGTGAAAGGAAAACCGTACTCTAGGAACATGCAGCTACCGCATGCCGTCTTCCACAGCCCAGAGGCCCAGTGGTTAGCTGGACTGAGGGCAAATCTGAAAGACAGGACTTTCAGCAAGGACAGAGTAGGTACAAGCTTTTGTTACTTCCCTTCTCCCTCCTTCTAGAATCATAGAATCATAGAACCACAAGGTTGGGAATGACCTCTAAGATCATCTCGTCCAACCGTCTCCTCATCACCTTTGCCACCACAAGCACTAAACCATATCACGGAGCATGTTGTCCAGACACCTCTTGAACACTGGCAGGGACGGTGACTTCACCACCTCCCTGGGCAGCCATTCCAGTGCCTGTCCACTCTCTGAGAGAAGTAGCTCTTCCTCATGTCCAATCCAGACCTCCTCTGATACAACTTGCGGCCATTACCCCGTGTTCTGCTCGTTGCCTGGGAGCAGAGGCCAAATCCCTCTTCACCACAACCTCCCTTCAGGAGGTTGTAAAGTGCAATGAGGTCTCCCCTGAGCCTCCTCTTCTCCAGACTGAACAATCCCAGCTCCTCACAAGGATTGTTCACCAGACTCCTCACCAGTTTCGTTGCCCTTCTCTGGACACGCTCCAGGACCTCAACATCTTTCCTGCACTGAGGGGCCCAAAACTGAACACAGTACTCGAGGTGCGGCCTCACCAGTGCCGAGTAGAGGAGGATGATCACCTCCCTGTTCCTGCTGGCCACACCATTTCTGATGCGGGCCAGGATGCCATTGGCCCTCTTGGCCACCTGAGCACACTGTCAGCTCATGTTCAGCCGAGCATCAACCAACACCCCCAGGTCCTTCTCTTCTTCACACTCATCCAGCCACTCATCCCCAAGCCTATAACGCTGCATGGGGTTGTTGTGGCCAAAGTGCAGGACCCAGCACTTGGCCTTGTTGAACCTCATCCCATTCACCTCAGCCCAGTGATCCAGCCTGTCTAAATCCCTCTGAAGGGCCGCCCTGCCCTCAGGCAGATCAACACCACCTCCCAGCTTGATGTCATCTGCAAACTTACTGAGGGTGCACTCAGTGCCCTCATTCAGGTCACCAATAAGGATATTAAACAAGAAGGGTCCCAGCACCGACCCCTGGGGGACACCACTTGAAATGGGTCGCCAGCTGGACTCCAATCACCACTACCCACTGGGCACGGCCCTCTAGCCAGTTCCTTAACCAAAGAAGTGTATACCTGTATAGGCCACGAGCAGCCAGTTTCCCCAGAAGAAGCCTGTGAGGGACCGTGTCAAAGGCTTTGCTGAAGTCTAAGAAGACTACATCAACAGACCTTCCCTCATCTTCCAGACTGGTCACCCAGTCATAGAAGGAGATGAGGTTGGTCAAGCACGACCTGCCTTTCACGAACCCGTGCTGGCTGGGCCTGATCCCCTGGACACTGCGCACATGCCGTGCAATCTCATCCAAGACGATTTGCTCCATAACCTTCCCTGGTACTGAGGTCAGGCTGACAGGCCTATAGTTCCCCGGATGCTCCTTACGGCCCTTCCTGAAGATGGGATTCACTTCAGCAAGCCTCCAATCCTCTGGGACCTCACCAGTTAACCAGGAGTGCTGATAGATGGCCAAGAGGAGCTTGGCAATCACCCCCGCCAGCTCCCTCAGCACCTGAGGGTGCAGCACATCCAGTCCTATGGACTTGTGACAGTCCAGACGGAGGAGAAGCTCTCGGACTGTCTTCGCTGGAATTGCTGGGGGCATATTCTGAGCAGCGTCCCAGACTTCCAGATCAGGGCATAAAAAGCCCAGAGGGTAACTGGCCTGGCTATTAAAGGCAGATGTAAAGAAGGCATTGAGGACCTCAGCCCTCCCCTTGTCCTCAGTGACCAGATTCCCTGCTGCATCAAGTATAGGATGAGAGTTATCTTTGGTTCTTCTTTTGCCATTGATATAAATTGATAAAATTTGATAGAAGGATTTTTTATTGTCTTTTACTGCAGCGGCCAACCTGAGTTCAGGTTAGGCTTTCGCCTTCCTAACTTCCTCCCTGCATACCTTAGCTACTTCTTTGTAATCTCCCCAAAGCTTGTAAGGTTTCTTTAAGGTGAGATCCTTCTCTCAGTCACTGGCAGCCCACCCAGTTGCTGGTAGGGACTGAAACAGCTTGAAAGACAAACTTAGGAAATATTTCTGCATCAGCAAACTCTGCTGCTTCTGTCATGGCTCAAGGCGCGCAGGTCCATTTATGTGTTGAGTGGAAGCACAGCACCAGTGGTTCTCAGAGAGATGGTTCTCAAGAAACACAGCAATAATGTGTTTATGAGGGCAGTGCCAATGAGGGCAGGAGATGAGAGTGTATGGAAGTAAATGGTGTCCCAACGCCATTCCCATCTCTAGGAACACGGGACTTAATCTAGCAGACGGAATACGGGCTGCACGTTTGTTGTGTGAGGTTCAGACTTGAGCATAGGCCTGCAGGAAGCTGTATCTGAGCCCATCCTGGAAGTCTTCAGGACGTTATGGAACAATCTGCAGCATGTTTCCCCTTCAGAAATGTATGTGTCTAAGTGGCGTCAGATTTGCAACCCAGAATTGCAGCCAGGACTTTCAGCAGCAGGAGTGAGATGCCCCAAACGCATCCTTACAGAGCCACAAAGCCGTGCGGAAGGATGGAAGGTGCTGTGCAGGGTATCTTGCTGTGACAAGACTGCTGACCTATGTAAGGTACCCAGAGGGAGGGCAGGGGAGGCCTCTGCCGCCTCCGCCTCCAGCGGCCTGGGAAGGGAGCCCTGCCCAGGGCCTCCTCTTCCAGCTGGGGCCCAGGGTGCCACCGCGCCTCCTCAGAGCCGGGAAAAGGCCGTGTGTGCGTGCGCTGCCTGGCAGAGGCCTCACACAGCTCCCCTCCGGCCCAGGCCAATGCTGGGCCCCGCTGGGGAGATGCAGGCCGAGCCGACGGCTGGCAGCACGGCCCCGCAGTGCGGGCATGGCGCTCCACAGGGCCTGCCCAAATCCAGCCCCATCCTCGGCTTGGGAGGCGGCGAGGAGAAGCTGACTGCAGCCTTCCCTGCAAGCCACAGAGTCTTAACATCTTTCAGTGCCTTTGGTTGGAGGAGAGCGCACAGATCATCCCGTTCCAACCTCCCTGCCCTGGGCTGGCTGCCCCTCACCAGATCAGCTGACCAGGGCCCCGTGCTTGGCAATGGGCAGCACTGCCAGGGCCTCGCTGCCCTCAGAGTAAAGAATCTCCTCCAACAGCTAACCTAAATTACCCCTCTCTTAGTGTACAGCCATTCCCCCTTGTCCTGTCACTGGCAGACCACACAAAAAGTCACTCTTGTTCTTGTTTACAGCTCCCTTTATCTAAAGATACGTTGCAACCAGCTCTCCCTGGAGCCTTCTCTTCTCCACGCTGAACAAGCCCAGCTCGCTCAAAGCCTTTCTTTGTAGCAGAGGTGCTCCAGGCCTCCTGACTTCTCTGTGGGCCCCCCCACAGGCCCACTGCAACAGAACCACATCCCTCCCGGGCTTCGCCCCAGCCTGGATGTAGAACTGCAGGTGGGGCCGCAGGAAGATTTTCAACCACTGTTAATCTGCCCTGCAGGTCCGGCAAGCCCATGTCCAGCGCCTGCACGGCTGAGACAGATCCCACGGTGGATCTGCACGGTGCTTTGGCTTTCCTTGCACAGCAGGCAGCGGGCGGACGGGGCAGCACCCACCATGCCCAGCACAGCCCCCCAGCCTGGGAGCGAGGAGCCTGGCAGGGGGTGACATGGGCGGGTGGGGCCCGCAGCCCCTCTGTGACATGGGCTGGAGTCACAATGGGGCGCCGCACCTCACCCTGATCCCTGCCCCGTCCCACAGCTCCCAGCTCACACTTCCCCGACAGGTGGAGGTGAGCCCAGACGCGAGTTGCTGCTCTCGCCAGCGCTCTTCTCTCGACAGCTGCTCTGCAGCGAGGAGGTGAAGGCCAAGGCAGGCAGTGCGATAGTGCTGGGTCTGTTTGGAGACGTGCACAGGAGGAGTGCAGGAGCTCGGTGGTAAGCAGATCTGGACGCCTCCCTCCGGTGGACTTTTGGCTCTGGGCTGTGCCTCTGGGCAGGACGTGGAGGCACGGGCGGATGTGGGGAGGGAGCCCGGGCTGGGGGAGGTGGGGAGGCTGGCTGCCATGGTGAACAGCGATGCCTTTCTGGCTGGGGATCCCCTCTCACTTCTGCGTCCTTCTTGCAGATCACAAGCCCGACGCTCTTCACCTAAGCCCGCTAGGGGCCAACTGTTGGTAAAATGCCTCGGAAGAGGATCCTCTTGTCCCCAAGGTGAGCATCTTTGCTTCTGTAGCCCCAAACTGACCATACGAGACATTTCGCAGCCTCTTTGCTCAAGCTGCCCGGAGGTGCCCAGGCTGCCGTTGCCAGGCCCGGTCTCCTGACCTGCTGCACACACATGCAGTCCAAGCAGCGCTTCTCCATGAAGCCTGTGCCCACTGCAGCTTCTCTGGGGAGCAGTGGTCTGCAGGGGAAGTCCCTGGGATGAGGGCTCCCTTTCCATTCCCACCTGTGTGGGACGTACAGTGGCTGTGAGGAAAGACCATTTTCCAGAAAGCTGCTTCTGCTCCCTCCCTTTTTCCCTTGGGTGGGCAGAAAACCATGAACAAGTATCAAACCAAAGCCAACATGTTAACGTTTTCCATCAGAATTTTGTTTCCAAATACTGCCTGCTTGTACATTCTGCTTGACAAAACTGAAGATGAGAGACAGTAGCTCCGGTCTGGAGCAGCTGTGTGAGCAGCTTAGTCCCAGAGCCTGCAGAGGACTACACTTGGCCCTTCTTGTAACCACTGCCTCTTCTTTATTTGCAGCTTTTTGCCCAAGGATGAGGTGCCGGAATGTGTACTGGCAGATCTTGCTGAGCAAATAGGTACAGTGCTACCACGTAGACGTAACATAGAGAAGCAGGAGCGTGTCACCGCACCTCTGACTCCACAGTGCTTATGCCAGATTCTCCAACATGACAGCATGTCCTGGATCACCTCCATTCCCAAAGGGACCCATGGAAGCAATGGGTTCCAGAACTGCTGAGGGATCAGCAGGGCTGTGTGAAACGGAGGGCTGGGAACAAGTGGTAGTTGGAGAGCGCGGTGACTCCGCTAAGAATCATAGACTCATAGAATAGCCTCAGCTGAATGGGACACTTAAGAATCATTGAGTCCAGATATGGGCCCCACACAGCACCAACCAGACTGTATGTCTGACAGCAATGCCCAAACACATCTTGAACTCCAACAGATTGGTGGGACGTGAAAAACAATAAGAAAACCTTCTACAGGTACATTGGCCAGAAGAGACAGGCCAAAACGGGCGTACCTACTTTGGTAAATTTAAAAGGAGAACTGGCTTCAACAGATGAAGAGAAAGCTGTGTTGCTGAATGAGTTCTTCACCTCGGTCTTCACTGGTGGCCAGGATTCTAGTCTTTTTCACATCCCTGAACCCTCCATCCCCAAACCTCTATGTGGGGACCAAGGAGGTAAATCCCTCCCCACTGTAAAGGCAGAGCAAGTCCGAGAGTGCCTCCTTAGACTGAATGAATACAAGTCTATGGGGCCAGATGGCGTGCATCCCAGGGTCCTGAAGGAGCTGGCTGAGGGGGTTGCCGAGCCGCTCTCCATCATATTTGAGAAGTTGTGGCTGTCAGGTGAGGTCCCGGATGACTGGAGGAAGGGTCACGTCACTCCCATATACAAGAAGGGGAGCAGGGAGGACCCGGGGAACTACAGGCCGGTGAGTCTCACCTCCGTGCCTGGGAAGATCATGGAACAGATCCTCCTGGACAACATGCTTGATCACATAAAGAATGAGCATGTGATCCGAGACAGCCAGCACGGCTTCACCAAAGGAAGGTCATGCCTGACTAATCTTGTGGCCTTCTATGATGGAGTGACGGCATTGGTGGACGAAGGGAAGGTGACTGATGTCATTTACCTGGACCTGAGCAAGGCCTTTGACATGGTCCCCCACCACATCCTCATCTCCAAATTGGAGGGAAGTGGTATTGATGGGTGGACGACCCGATGGATAAGCGATTGGTTGAAAGGCCGCAGACAGAGGGTGGTGGTCAATGGCTCTATGTCCAGGTGGAGGCCGGTAACAAGTAGTGTCCCCCAAGGGTCTGTCTTGGGACCGGTGCTCTTTAACATCTTTATTAATGACATCGATGAGGGAATTGAGTGCACCCTCAGCAAGTTTGCTGACGACACCAAGCTGAGTGGTGCGGTTGATACAGCGGAAGGAAGGGATGCCATTCAGAGGGACCTCGACAGGCTGGAGGGCTGGGCTCGGGTGAACCTAAAGAGGTTCAACACGGCAAAGTGCAAGGTTTTGCATTTGGGCCGGAAGAACCCCAGGCACCCGTACAGGCTGGGAGGAGTGGGCCTTGAGAGCAGCTCGGCAGAGAAGGACCTCGGGGTCCTGATGGACGAGAGACTGAACATGAGCCAGCAGTGCGCTCTGGCAGCTCGAAAGGCAAATGGGATCCTGGGCTCCATCAGGAGAGGGGTGGTCGGTCAGCAGGGAGAGGGAGGTGATCGTCCCTCTCTACTCAGCTCTTGTGAGGCCCCATCTGGAGTCCTGTGTCCAGGTGTGGAGCCCTCAGTACAAGAAAGACATTGAGACTTTGGAAAGGGTCCAGAGGAGGGCGACTAAGATGATCAGGGGGCTGGAGCACCTCCCCTATGAGGACAGGCTGAGGGAGTTGGGCTTGTTCAGCTTGGAGAAGAGAAGGCTGCAGGGTGACCTCATTGCAGCCTATCAATATCTGAAGGGAACCTACACCCAGGAGGGGAGTAAACTCTTCAAAAGGGTTGACAATAGCAGGACTAGGGGAAATGGATCCAAGTTGAAGGAGGGAAGATTTAGGTTGGATGTCAGGGGGAAGTTCTTCACAAGGAGAGTGGTTAGGCCCTGGAACGGGCTGCCCAGGGAGGTTGTGGATGCCCCGTCCTTGGACGTGTTCAAGGCCAGGTTGGACAGGGTCCTGGGCAATCTGATCTGAATGTGTATGTTTGGTGGCCCTGCTAGGCAGGGGGGTTGGAACTACATGATCCTTGAGGTCCCTTCCAACCCGGGTGATTCTGTGATTCTGTGATTCTGTGATTGGTGCCATGGCCACTGCCCTGAGGCCCCTGCTCGATGGCAGCAGCAGATGCACGGGCATCTGGCATGGCTGTCTGGTGGTCAGCATCTCAGAGATGCAGCTGTGAACAGCTTCCTTGTTTTGTGCTTACAGAGGAGCAAGAACGTGAGTCCCTTCGTGGCCGCTTTCCACCCCTCCGGACAAGTGACCTCGACCTGCTGGCAGAAGAGGGGACTACAGTGAGGTGAGTGCACTGAGAACAGTCAGTGTGACACCCTGAACTCCCATTTGTCTGTAAGGAGTCCTTGCCTGGACCCGGGCATGCTGAACTCCCTCCAGGCTCCTGCTGCTCTCTAACAAGCTCCCTGTGTTGCTTGCAGTGTGCTGCCACATATTGGAAAGAACTGGCCAGAGAGGAACCTGGAGATGAAGGAGAGGGAGGCAGAAGTCAGGCTCCCTCCTCTGCGCAGCCAGCTGGGAACATCACTGGTACGTGCAATGGTGAGATGGGTCAAGAAACTATGGACAGAGAATCCTAGGAGAGCCCCCCCAGATGAGTTCATCCTCTGTTTTTTTTTTTTTGTGGCTCTTCCTTTCCTTCTCGTGAGGGACTCCCTGTGTACCCACAGCTCTTGCCCTTCATGCTTCCGCCCATGGCATGGGGAGATGAAGTAGGCCACAGATATCAAAGGGCAGAGGATGGGTTGTGCTGTGGGGACGGCACAGACGGCACTGCCTGGTGTGCCTCACACAGCCCTGGTCTGCATTGCTCAACCTCAGCTTGACATAGACTCTTCGAGCCTGTGCCCCTTTGCTGGGTGGATGCCACTCGCCAAGGTGACGTGGCCTCACATCTGCCTCTACTTCCCACACAGGCAAGGAAGCAGTTCAGAGCACCTCAAGCCCAGCAGCACTTCCCCCATCTGAAGACCACCACTCAGGAGAGGGAGAGAGCGCAAAAAGAAAAGATCTCCAGCAAGAAGAAAAGCGAGATTCCTTGCCGCCTTCCTCCAATAGCAAAGGAGAGGACAGTGGTCCCTCCAGCAGAGATGGCAGAGCCCAAGTAAGTGTGCAGCAGCTCCCAGCAAGGCCTGGCAGAGGCAAGACACTCAGAGTGACCAAACGTGTGGTCAGGGGAGCCTGAAGCCCATCCCACCATGATGGGGTGCTGGGGCTCAAAGGCCCCATGGGGTGCAGGGGTGGGGGAAGGCAGGCACTGGGGCAGGCAGCATCTCAAACGGGGTGTGAGCAGGAGTTTCTCTCTGCTGTTGCAGTTTCCAGACACTACGGGCAAAACAGGTCCTGGGAACCTTGGAACCATACAAGGTTTGCCGGGAAGGTTGGAGGAAGAAGGTGGAGCAAAACAGGCTCCTTCCTGCCAGACCCAAGAAGTACCTCAGATAAATATCGGCAGCAGCGGGAGAATTTTCCTGCAGGGGCCAGTGCCTCTCTCACCCTGACAGCAGAGCTGGGTGGGACTGCCTTTCCCTGACAGCCTGGTGCTGTGGAGAGCAGAGTGCTCCTGAGGCCGTGCCCTTGAGCCACAGCTGCCTTCCAGCCCAGGAGATGTGAGAAGGCAGAACGGAGGGGGCAGAGGGTGGGTGCAGATGGCATTTGGCTCTACCTTTCCACTCCATACAGACCATCCCTCCCCTGGCAGACTATGGACAGCCAGGCATCTGACTGGAGGACCCATCCCTGCCTGGTCCCACATCCCAGCTCTGGGCTGATGAGCTGCACGTGTGTGTCATGGCAGTGCAGCCGGACCCACAGACTCAGCAGAGGGTGAGCAGGATATCTCTGCCTTCTTCTCCAGACCCCGAGTGCACATCTTTGCTTCTTCTCTTACAGCTTTGTGAAGAAGTTGGAGCCGCCAGAGACCAGACAAAAACGCAAGAAGCCATGAGAGA